TTAAAAATGTAATGTCATAATACAGATTTTAGGTGTAATGTCATAATACAAACTTTAATGAGCGGGAAGTAAATCTATAGGAAGTTTTGAGGGGAGGGTGCAAAACTATAATAGCGCTAATAATTCTTCCAAGTTCTTGTGATGTCACTTGTCTGTTTCAATAAACCAATTGGGGGGTGGGAAGCGGTAATGATTTTTTCTCACAATCTGTTCAGAGGATCAAACTTGCCGGACAATTCGAATCGATTATCTACTAGGCCGTGTCTCCTTCAATATTTTATGCTTATGAGTTTTTTTTTAATTTAAACTTTTCTTGCTATGCCTGAATGATCGTAAAAAATTAGGTAAAGAATCGATTAATCGCTATGGACGCCCTAAAAAACAAATAAACCAGAAAAATGTATTTTAAATAATGTCTTCTTTGAAGTTAGAATTTTGGTTTTATTTGAAAGATAATAGCCTAAGGGTAATCCGTTTATAAAGAAAAATAAATTTCCATGTGTAAATAAATTTTTGGTACATTTTTTTAAAAAAAATGTGGGAAATTTAGCGACTTCCAAATTGAGTCGTGGCAGATGAGCAAAGATGAGACATTATAATAAATGTATTATACAACGAGAATGAGAATAGATGATTCCTAGAAACGTATTCATTTAGTGGTTAAAAGTCATGGCATCGAGGACGATATCCAAATTCATGTGTGTTTGAAATAGATGAAATACTTATTGGGTGCTGCTCATATCTTATTCCAATAACTGCTTGTCCTTGCATCATTCAGGTTTGCTCGTGGCCAGCATCGCTTGTTCTTGGCGTAGGCTGAAAGGACGTCTGTCCCGTCCGCGGTCATCCCGGTCTCTGTCTTGGCGCTTAAATTCCGGTTGGTGTTTAATTTTGTGTCTTACCTATCAGATGAATGGACCCATCTTTCTATCAGCAGGCGTTATCTACCAAAGGGAGATAACTTATATTATTTATACACTGGCACGGTCACACCATTATAGACGAAAAATGTAAACAACAAATTTAAAAATCTCTTAAAATATCTAATAATATTTGTCCTAGAAATGTATTTCGAAGTCATTTAGAAAATTTAAGGATTAAGTAGATTTTGTAAAACTAAAAGGAATGCTTAGTCTTTGCTTAACGTAATGAAAATTACTATTAGAATCTAATTTGAGAACCACGACTACAATATTTTACAAGTTCACATTCTAGCCTCTTTTCTGGTCCTCATCCCAACTTTTTCCGTTGCTTTCAAATCCGGCTCCCAAAGCCTTGTCCATTATCAGAGATAAAGATATATTTTCTGACGAACGAGAGAGCTGGAAAATATAAAAAGAAATTTGAACATCATTATCCTGTCGTTGGTGCCAAGAAGCTTGGAGAGGGGCGCTCATAGCTTGCCGGACCCTTGCTTCTAAAAAGCAGCTTCCAAAACCTTGGCTCTTATCAGAGATAGGAATATGTTTTCTAACCAACGAAGGGACCAGGAAATTTGTATAGCAATTTTGGATGGGAAAAAAAAAATTCTGAGCCTCCATATCTCCAGAAATACGGATAATTTACGCATGTTTGACAGTGAGTAATCGACAACCGGCGACAGAAAACAGTCATCTTCGAAATTAGCTTCTAATTGAGATCGGCCTAGAAGATTTCTGTCGCCGGCCTACGAACTCACTCAACTACGAAATTCATAGTTTGTCTATATTTCTGAGATGAGGTATTATGTACAGTATTTACAAGATGAGGACAATAGTCCGACTAATGTAAATACTGTACGAAATTCATATTGTCCGACAGTTTCCTCCTATACAAGAACTCTGAACAAATTTGTGTTTTAACAACAATCTACTACTCGCTTAAAGAACTTTTTAGGCGTTCAGAAAAATATTTTGATTAAGCTTTTTCTTTTTTATGAATATTTTTCTTCCTTTAAAGTTAAAGGAATTTTCTCTTGTAATTGTGCCTCTTTTTTGTGCATTTAAATAAACATTTTCTTCCTTTATTGTTACACACCAAGCAAGAGTTTGAGTCTTTATTCTTCCACCTGAAAAGAGAGAATTGTCCGCTCTAATATTTCAATCCGTTGTTGCTTTTTTTTTTTCAATTTTGTCGCATTTTTTAACCTCAACCCTTTCATGTGGGAAAGCCGGGACAAATTTTCCACATCACCAACGTTTATTTACGCACGGTAGCCTGTGATGTCATCGGTCAACAACTGTACTTTTCTACTGTAATCCCTGACTTCAAAAGCACGTGAATTTTTTTTTTCAATTAAAGTAATACAGAACGATGTTTTTTTTTTTACTTTCATTTCAGAAAAATGTTATAGACAAGCGTATGGTTGCAAGAAAGAAATACGACAACAGCAGAAATAGATTTACGTGATTTATTTCAACAGGAACGTGTGGGTTTGGGACAGCTACCTTGTGGTAAAGTTCATAAGCCGGCTTCGAATCTGGGTTGATCTCTCATAGTAGTTCACACTGGTTGGCGCTGGCGCTCCCCCTGCTGACCGCTTAGCCTGACCGTGACAGGTCTCTTCCATTGCCTCCTGTTGACAATATTCAGTCCCCCCCACGAGGGCGTCATGTGGCACAAGGCCTTTTTAACGTGGGATTTCCGAGCCCGTGAACTCGGCCAAAAGTATGCCAGTTGAACCCGTATAAACGGGTTCAGGGTCGGTTTACCTCCCCGAAAGAGAATCCGCCCTTCGGCGTAGCTTCTTTCGGGTTCCTCCCCGCCCGAAAGCAGAGAGTTCAACCGATCAGCTAGTCGACTGACCTGTTGACGATATTCAGGTACCCCCCCCCACGAGGGCGTCATGTGGCACAAGGCCTTTTTAACGTGGGATCTCCGAGCCCGTGGGCTCGGCCAAAAATATGCCCATTGAACCCGTATAAACGGGTTCAGGGTCGGCTTACATTCCCGAAAGAGAATCCGCCCTTCGGCGTAGCCTCGTTCGGGTTCCTCCCCGCCCGAAGGCAGAGAGTTCAACCGATCTGTCGGTCAAGAGTTGAGCGACTGACCTGTTGACGATATTCAGTCACCCCCCCACCCGGCCATTTTTAATGTGGGATCTCCGAGCCCGTGGGCTCGGGCCAAAAATATGCCCATAAATATAAACGGGTTCAGGGTCGGTTTACCTCCCCGAAAGAGACTCCGCCCTTCGACGTAGCCTCGTTCGGGTTCCTCCCCGCCCGAAGGCAGAGAGTTCAACCGAACAGCCGGTCAAGACGCGAACGACTGACCTGTTGACTGCCGTTGTACTTCCGTGTGACCCCTTTTATGGCGTTTTTTTATGGCTTGACAGGCTCGTAAAACGACGCGAGTATAATTAGGAGGGAAGCATTTTTATTGGTCGAAAAATAGAAACACTTTAAAATATTATTTTATTTTTCGACCGGAACTTGTGCGTCGGGAATATGCGTAAATATGGTCATTTTGTGACGGGGCCTTGTCCCGTCCACATCCGGCTCTCGCTCTTAAGTATGTTAGTTTATTTGCCTGCAAATCAGCCGAGATATGTCTTATTTTATTTTATAACAAAAAGAAACGCATCCGTTTTGAATTTAGTTGCACTGAGAATAAAATGAATTGAGATTTTTATAGAAATATTTTCCTCGTGTATTTGTATGTTAAATCTGACCTTTTAATTTCTTTGGAAAATTACATTTTTTCAAGTTTTTGGAAGGAAGGGTTTCATTTGCAGGGTAAGTGTACTGTAACAATACTAAACTAGACTCTTACTTTGTGTCTGTTTTTTTAGGAAAATCACAAGTTCTGTTATTTAGTTCATAACAATAACATCCATAATTGTTTTAAAGTACGGAATCTACGAAAAAGACAAAATTTCTTTTTCTTTTTTCTGCAGCTAGGAACTCAATTCGGGATGTTGCAAAAATCCTAAGCCCCCAAAAAGTTAGCTAAAACCCTAAAACACCAACGTAACCCCAATCACAACCACTCAAAATCTAGAGGTTATTAACTCGATAAAATAAACTTTTTTTTTTCATTTTAGGCTTCTATATCTTCATTTTAAATTACCCACATTTACATAAATGCGAACACAACATAAGGTTTCGCGTTTAGCAGTAACACCTTAAGTTCAAACTTTGATGTTAATGCCGAGCATAAAGTCAGTGTTCATTCTGACATACATTGTAATAAATCGAATCCCCATAGAGCTACTAAGCATGCTTTTACTTTTTAAAACTTTTGTAACCACCGAAAATGAACAAACTACAGGGTTGTCTGAAAGTCTTGTCACCCCATACATAATTTTTTTTTCAGATGGCTGAGACGAGCTCCTGAAGTTTGGAAGAGAGGTAAGGGTGACAAGACTTTCAGTCCACTCTGTACATCTGAATTAAAAATTGTCGTAGAAAATATTAATCTTAGCTTAACCGCATTTTTACTTAAATTTATTTCGCGTTATATTGGAAAAGTTTCACAAAATAATCAAAAGCTTCTTTAAGAGATTTTTTTTGTATCGTGAAAAGTTTTATCATAAAACTTTTATGAGAGAAAAACTTTTGTTTACAGTTTACTAACTAAAAAAAAACTTAACTGTCTAGATTTAAAGACTTGAGTTTAATTATTCCAGTGTTTCATTCAAAACAAAACAAAAAGAAAACATATTTTATAAAATATAATGTCTACTTTTTTTAGTAAATGAAAATATTACTTATTTTCTGTTTAACTTTTTTCTTAGTCACAAGTCGAAGTTAGTTATGATTTTTTAATTTTTCCTACCACCGGCTATAATTCGAATTTATGAAAACTAAAAACATGAGGAAACTGATATTTTTTAAATAAATAATTTTATTTATTTTTTATTAATTTATTTCGCATTAAAATTCGATTTTTATATTTCAGATACGATTTATTATTTTATTTAATAATCGAAACTTTGGCAAAAATGAATGAATTCATTTGAGTTCCTCCTATTACTTTGGCCGGGATTCCGAGTAGACTGAAGTTGAATATCACTATACACCATGGAGGATGACGTGGTAGGACAACTTTCTGAAGATGGTAAATAACTAATTTCTCGATGTTATTAGCTTAATTAAAGTCTTTCAATGTCAGGATTCTTTCTAATGTTCTTACTTTATTGATTCATCATAGTGAAAATGTCTTCAAATCCAGTTATTGATTAAAAAATTCTTTCTAACACATGCACCGAAAAATTCGTCGTCTGTTTTTATTTGTTGATAAGAAAAAAAGCCCAAATCCAGGAAGTTTTTTTTATTAAAAACAAACTTTTTTTTATACTTTAATGTTTTTCTTTCTTGTTACGAGACATCCATGTGAATTTATATTTTTGTTGTGCGCAATCAATTTTCTTAATAAAATATTATTTTTCTACCTTTTCAAGTAAAAAGAGAAAAAGAAAACTCATTCCTAGTCAATCACAAAAACAAAATCATAAAACATCATAATTTTAATTTTATTTTTCACTTATAAGTTTTATCTTCTTGCAGAGTATTGTTAAGTTTAGCGTTTCAAATGAACTCTGCATACAAAATACTGATTTATGTCCCTTACATCGCATTTTTTTTTTTTAACTCGCTTTATATTCTGAACCTTTCTTTGGAAAGTTATACATCCGAAATAACATGAAAAATAGCATTGGAAATAAAATGTAATTAATTTCCACTATTTTCCCCGGAAACAGAAAACTTGAAATCAAAATGTGTGACCATAAATCCCAGAATTTCTAAAACGTCTTTCCTCATGTATCAAAAAGGAAATGTAAACTAAAAAAAATAGTGTCAGAATTTGAAAACTAAGAAAGACAAAATTTTGGAAGCCCAATGTCTAATAATTGAAGTGTAGCCACATTTATTAAATTATATTTTATAATAATTATTGCAATTTGATGATATTTTTACGCTTAATTTCGTTTTCTTTCGAGTGCATGACTTTTCATATCCAGAGGGCTCAGATTATGAGGCGAATTAAAAAATCACACTTACAGGGATGTAAGAAAGGTAATTAAAACACTAAACCTAACAATATCCACGGTAAAATTCAACATAAAAAAATAATAAAGCCAACCAACTCCAAAAATGCTTAAATGAATAATTTACTAATATCTTGTTTATTTCATTTTCACAATATTGCATGTTTTTGTTGAGTGTGTAGTACAGAGTAGGTATCTGCAAAGCTTAGCTTTGTTGTGACCACAAGTCTGGAGAACCTAGATGAATCAAATTCACTAAATGTCAAAAATGGACTATGATACTTGCTTATTACAGTTCCATATTGAGGTGTGTAGCAAAAAATGAAATGTAATCTCCATTAATAAGCAAAGTTACTTTCCTGTACACATGAGATTGTGATCTTTGTCTTCATATCTTGAACAATCCATAAAGAACTAGTCATTGCAGTAATTGTAGCCTCTTTTAATGGCCCTTGGATGCTAGAACAATATTCAAGATGGCCTTCCTTACAAACTTAAAAAGGCTCTATCTAATTTACTATTTGCCCATAGCTATGGGAAAATACAGTCATGCTTTTCTCAAAGGTATTAGTGTGATATTAATGAACACTGACCCTACCAAAGTTTGAACTCATTTCCACTAATTCATCATGCTATTTAACAGTTAGGCCATTGAGCATTTCCTTTTCTTTTATGTGCTGTGTCCCTTCAGAACATATAGGTGATCATGGCTCTCCACAACTTCCTAACTTTTGTAGCTTGAATTAATATTTGTCACTTTACTAATCCCAGTCCCTGTTCTGTATCCATTTACACAAGCTTTTTAGATAGGTTATTTGCTGTTTCCCTCTGCCTCACTAATCTTCAATATTTGAAGGTTAATTTGACACTGACTGGAAGGTGAGTGTCAAATTTTCCAAGCCCTCTTTCCTTGTTACATGTCCAGAAATTTCAGTAGTCTCTTTCTGATTGTAAGTACAAGAATCAATTTGATTTACATTTTCCTTAAAACTTCCTCATTACTCACATGTACTGTCCATATCTGTATTGCCTTAAGTCTCCTCTTCATCTGTGAGAAATTGTCCAATGGCCAAATTGATTGATATTACATAGCAGTTCAGCACTTATGTTAAAGAAGGCAAAATATTAGGAATTTTACCAGTTTGCATTTTTGCTTCTTAATCAAATCTTAAATTGACTATTTACCTACAGGTGTGTTTTTGTGTTTGTCTTTATTTTTATTGTCTAAAACTGTCTGAGAGATAACTTTCTTTTTCAACTGTACAAGTTAGAGTGCTGTATTTATTTATTTATTAATAAATGTTTTTTTATACTTAACTTTTTTAAATATTTAATTTTTATCAAAATATTTTAAATTAAAACATTTTTAATGGTGATATCAGAATTTAGTAAAAAAAATCATGGTTAAATAAATGGCATGTAATTAATATTGAGACTTCCTCTCCTCCAGATTAAATAAAGCGTACAATCGAAAATGAGATTGGTATGCTGAATTCAAATTATGGTCAAAGTCATTGTGTTTATTTTCCTACAAATACCCTTGGGAAAGGTATGATTCCATTTCTTCTTCCCCCCACCTATGGATTAAATAGCAGGGTTCTGTAGCCTTAGTTTGCAACCAGTCTATGAGAAGGATAATTCTGAATTTAAAAAAAAAATGGTTGGTTGTAGAATTGACAATTCCACACTGTAAAATGCCTATTTACTACAGAAACTATAACGGCAACACTAATATGGTGACGTTGTGATCTTATGCTCCACAGGGAATGAGAAGAACTCCTTTCTTTCTCACAGTTCAAAATTCCCTGAAGCTTAACTAGATCAACAGACTTGAGGAAGGCCAAAGAGCACAACAGTCAAAATGTGATAATAATAACAAAGATAAAGATATTAGTTCAACTGTAAATAATAACTCCTCATCAGAAATTTGTACACTTAATTAAATAGAAGTTTTCTTAAAATCTATCATTGGTATGATAACAGTTAAAAACATTAAGTGAAATCACTTGTTCACTTAAAGCTTCTTTTGTCTTTAGAAAATCATTTTTATTATCTTTGCTCTTTACAGAGTCTAGAAATTTAATCTGGAAAATAGAAACCTTAAGGAGTGATTGATTAAAAAAGCTTTCAACTAACACATTTGTTTTAATTGATCATATTTCTGAAATGTCATTGTGCAACACAAAGTTTTATATTTCAAAGACAAAATTTGATTAGCGTTTGTTTCCTTTATGCTTCTTTTTTTTTTTTTTTTTTTTTTTTTTTTTTTTTCAGAGTTCTTCAGTTCGTTTCTTGATGAAGAATTTGATGTTAAGGCTCATGCCAATAAGGCTATTCAAGGCGTGGCCATTACTGAACAGTTGGCCAAACTGGCAGATGGAATGGCTTTATTGGACAAAGAAATCCATAACCAGGTAATTAAATGTTCTACATCTTCCTACAAAACTGTTTTTGGACATTTTGAAAAATTCTTCAAGTGTATGTTTATATAGCTAATGTATACACTAGAATTTCTCGGCTTCAGGAGTTGACATTCTTAAAGAAACAGATTTATTCATCTTTGGTTCATTTGTCCTCTAGAAAACAAGTTTTAATTTTGTAGCACAATCAATGAGAAGTAATAAAATGAATAAAAACAAAACAGGTTTCAGAAAAATCAATTACAGATAAAGGGTTACTGTTAAAAATGGTTATGATGAGTGAGGTGTGATTTGAATAAATGATGAGTGGCAGGAAATGAAGTTTATAAGGATAAAGATGATAGATACCACTGATTTTTATTGAGTAAGCTGGAAATTCAAACCTGAAAATTAACCATTATAATTAGGTACCTCCCCCAAAAAAATGATACCTAAAGTTTAAAATGAATTAAAAAATAATGAAAAATCTTTCTTGAGGCTTTTATTTTAGTTTTAATTTCAAACTGATAGATTAAATTTAATATTTCCAAAAAGCATAATATTTCTGTATTTCAAAACAAATTTAAATTGATTGGAATGGGTATTTTTTTTTTTTTTTTTGGAAATCACTAAAAACGGCTGATTTTAGCAATATTTATCATTCACTCAACACTACATAATTCTCTTCATTAAAAAACTTTCAAAAATGAAATATGTGTTTCTGAAACCTTATTTGAGGAATATTAGCTGATTTAAAGTTTAATTAATCTGATTTGAAATAAATATTACTTTTAGTTTAAAATATCGCAGAAAAGCATTTTTTAACACAGTGGTGGATGTTTTTATGAGGTGTTAACTTAAAATGATAGACTTGTGCTTGGAATTTTTTTCTATGAGTGGCATATCTGTAAAAATTATTTGATGAATATAATGTAAGCACTTTTTATATAATTTTATAATTACCCAGTAATCTTAAAAATGTAGGGAAATATACTAAATGATCTAATGTTTAATCGAATTTTAAATACTTTGGCTTTAATTTCAATATAATTACTGCACTTATTTTCTGATAATGTCATGTATGGATGTCTGTATTTATTTTCTGTTTATACACAGACAAAAAAAAATTAAAAGTTTTTTTTAGAATACTTGGCAGGGTGGGGGGCACTGAATTGTAGATAGTTTTTCTATTTATGATTAGTAAATATAGTTTTTACTTCATAAGAATATCACCTAATGGTGTCAAAGTAATACAAAAATTTTAAAAAATTTAAAAGTAGTTACCTCCAGGAAAAAAAGTTACCTAAGGTTTAAAATGTTTTGACTGGAAGGAATTTGTTTTTTTTTATTTTTTTTGCTAAAATAATTGACTAGTGCCATTTTTTAGTTCTTTCATCACAATGCAATTCTCTTTATTAAAAATCTTCCAAACATAAAATATACTTTTCTGAAACTTTATGAAACAGGCATAAAAAAACAACCTTTTATTACTTGGCAGTAATAATGCAAATGACTTTTAAGCATTATGGGGCTTACCACTTAAACTATACAACATTCAATTAACTATAGGAGACTGGCTCAGAGAAATTAGACGCAGGAGGAAATAGTTTTATAGAGACTCCGAATAGGGCAAAACACATCTGACCAACTCGCATCTACTCAAAAATGAAACTCCTCCACTATGCAATAAATGTCAAGTACCTCTCATGGTTGAACAAATATTCATAAGTTGCCATCATCTCGGTCAAACAAAATATTATCGTACATAAAACATTTAATATCTTTTGAAAATGAAAAAAAGAACCCTTTAGACTTCATAAACATCTCCATTAAAAATTACAATGCAAACTCTAATAACCAACTTGTATCAGGACTGAACTGAATACACAATAACTTATATTAGAAATGAAAACCTCCAATAACTGATTATAAAAAAATTACTTAATCAACTAATATGCAAAATTATCACTGATCCACATATAACATTAAGCCCTACCAAAAAAAACTATTATTCAAAAGCTTTATTTGGCCTTAAATAATCATGTAGTGGTTGATGGGTTGTTCAGTAGATACCAAACCAAATCCAATCACTATGACTAAAAGTAATCAAGATTCATTTTGCATTCATATTTCTAAAATCTGTTTTCTATTTTAGATCGTGGCTCACCATGAGGATCTTCTCTCTCAAGCAACTGGTGTGGAAACCTTAGAAGGTATCACTTTAAAATATCTGTCTTTAGAGATCATTGTGTTTCCTTGCTATGTTTCTGTTTAGCTGTCAGCAATGATGAAAAATGAAAACATTCACTTTCATTACATGTTACTTTGTTCTTAGAGAACGAAGCATTAACTTTTGCATATACCTCACAAAAATAAATGTAACTACACTTGTTTCAAATAGATGAAGTGATAGGAATAAAATGGGTTGGCTATAAATTTCCAGGTACTCAATAATAGGGATAGGTTGAATAAGAGGGGTTGATGAAAGTCTGTTAATATTTAATAATAGGGGTGAGTAGAAAATTTCTATTTGAATATTTTGAAAGAAAGCTGATGAAATTATCATTACATCTATATTGTCAACATTAAACAATTTTATTTAAAAAAAAAAGAAGCTTAGTTTGAATCTCCTGATTTAAAATTAGACATTCTAGAATTGTAAACAATAGTTGGGTTGTGTTAAAATTGTAAATTTGCATACTTGTGACATGTAGCATTTTGAAATGGATCACATCTGATTTTGTGTTGTTTTGAATATGATTATCATCTGAATCTTAATTAGACAATTTGCAGATGATTGTATAATTACAACATCATCATTTGACAAGTATTTAAGATTTCATCATTTGACAAGTATTTAAGATTTCATCATTTGACAAGTATTTAAGATTTCATCATTTGACAAGTATTTAAGATTTCATCATTTGACAAATATTTAACATTTCATCATTAGACAAGTATTTAAGATTTCATCATTTGACAAATATTTAACATTTCATCATTAGACAAGTATTTAAGATTTCATCATTTGACAAGTATTTAAGATTTCATCATTAGACAAATATTTAAGATTTCATCATTAGACAAGTATTTAAGATTTCATCATTTGACAAATATTTAACATTTCATCATTAGACAAGTATTTAAGATTTCATCATTTGACAAATATTTAACATTTCACTTGCTTCCAGATAAACTATTTTTCACATATTATTTGACAAATTCATTTGTCATGCATCTGTTTATTTATTTAATTAAAGTAATTCAGAAAACCAAAAATAATTTTTGAACCTTGAACATAATTTTTGAATGCAATCAATTAAATTCTACTATTGATTCTTTACAGAGTATATCAGTGTCCAAAGAATTTAAACAATGTGATATTTCAGAAATGCAACTAAAAAGTGAATCCTTTTATTTCTTTTTTCTAATCAGTCTAAAAGAAAATCTTTTATTTTCTAGAATAATTTGTAAATTCATAAGATGGTAAAAGTCTCTTACTAGTAATATTTTATTAACTTTGATTTTAAAGAAAATTATACCTGGTGGAATAAATCCCTTGTAGATCTTGATGAATCTAGAGGTCTTACTTATGTTTCTTACTAACTCTCTCTATGAACTAAAACTGTATTTTATTTTCTCAAAGGTGTCTTACAAATGATGCAATCCAGAATCCAGTCACTTTTATCGGCAATGGAAAGGTTTGTGCCTATTCTTGATTTTTGTTTAAAGCTTTAAAATACAGAATTGCAATTATATATTCATCTATTATCTGCATTGTTTACATACCAAATTTTCAATTGAGCAATACTCAAGTATGCCAGTTCAGTGTTAAGTGAATCTTAAGGGAGATTGAAGGAATAGAACTTATGGAGTGATCAGAGCAGCTTTGTAAGACAAAGAAGAGGTCAGTTTCTAGAAAGTGCAGTAGATGTGGATATGACAAAAACAAGGAATGTGAATAACATACCCTCCATACCTCCATTGCAGCAAAATAAAAGGTTCTTTTTTAAAACTTCCTCAAAGTTGCTCAGTTCAACATACAATTAGGGAAGGCTGGAAAGTGTACTGTACAAAATGTGATAAAAATAAAAATAACAAAAAGAAAGGAAAATGTTAATTTAAAAAATGATGTTAAATGTATTAATTTTTTTAAATTTTAGGGCTTATGGCCATATCATGTTGAAACACAGGTTCCTGTACACTCACTGAAGTTAAGCAATATCAACTCTGGTCAGTAACAAGATCAGTGACCACTTGGGAATACCAAGTGCTGTAAACTTTGATGTGTGGGTGATATAACAGATAATAGTTCAGTATTGTTAATCGGCAAGCCAAGTTCCAATTCCATTTGGGTTTGTTATATTCACTTGCACACAAATACATTTTGGGAAAGGTATGAATCCACCTTTCCTCCCACCAGCAATGGGTTAATTAGTAGGAATTGTATCATTGAACCATTGTTATCTCCAAGAGAAAGGATTCTTACAATCTAAAAATATGTTCTGGCCTTAACCTGCAAATGATTGATAGGCTGTAGAAAACCAATCTATCAGATTTAATTTTAATTTTATTTCTTTAAAAATAATTTACATTTCCTTTACCCACATAGCTTCTGTCACATGCTTGTTTTTTAAGTTTTACAATTTCATCTTAAATGCTCATGTTCACTTTGTTTTGTCTTATAAAAAATATAATAAACTTCAAATGTTACTGCTAAATTATTTCCATCCCAAATAAATCCTTCTCCTCTTTCTAACATTGAATTGCTTTTTGCATTTGAAAAACAAAAACTCACTGTTTGCATTATGTATTACATTATTAAAACAAACAAAACTATTTTCACAAAGGGAAGCTTGAATTATAATCAGGATTGTGTCTGGGTGTGTGTTACTGTTATCAGCCTGCAAAATGGAATTGGCAATCCTGATTCAAATTTCAACCAAGACTTGATATTATTTTTCAACTCAGGCTCTCGTTCTGTATTCTATTCCAGTTTTATGACAGTCATGCAGGGAAATGTTTCTAAATATTGTTCATATCATGCTTCGGCCCACTAAATAATTGGCCAGTTTATCATGTTCAGCAAATGTCTACTTAATACAACAAGACTTTATTATTTTACACACAATCTTAGGTAATGTTGTTTCATATTTGTTTGTAATATTAAAAAACACAATTTAAAAAATTAAGTTTTTTAGTAAGAAGTCATCCAAAGAGTGATTTCTCTAAGTAATGTTTGAGGCATTTGCTTATTTATTTATTTAAAAGTTTTATTTACCTGTCTATTATTTTTTCTTTGTTTATTTAAAGAATTCGATGTAAAGTGAGTGAGCCCTTTAACAAGATTGTAATGAGAACAGCACAGCTTCGGCGATTACAGGTAAAGAAAAAGTATCTTGTACTTCTAAACCTTAAATATTATAGACTTTATCTGTAAATTAAAAATAAAGTTTATATTTTGTGTTTTTTCACACAAAGAAGATAAGAGTTTACTTACAGAAACCTGTTTATAAAATTTAGTATTTAAGTATGTGATGTAGATGTTAATAAAATGTTTACTGACAACCAAAGGCTTGAGTTCAGAATATTTACGTAATGTTTAAAATCTTATTTTTGCTTTATTTATACAGCAGGCTGACATCTTACATGGTTTTAAATTATATACTCTTGAACATTCATGGTCAGAAAATATTTTAAACAATTAAAAAAAAGTCCTCAAAATGTTTAGTGTTCTGTTATGCACAAATCCACATCACCTAATATAAAGGAGAAAAATATAACCCCCTCCCATTTATTTCTTGTGCTTTCTTCATACTTTAGAGAGTTCTTAATTTCCTTACTGTGTTTGTAACAGGAAGCATGTGATTTACTACGAAGGATCATCCGTATTTTGTACCTGAGCAAACGTCTTCACAGCCAGTTGGAAGGAGGGGCAAGGGAGATAACTAAGGCAGCACAGAGCTTAAATGAACTTGGTAAGTGATTTTGAAGCCTGAAATGGTACAATTTAATTATCAAAGAACTACTTGAAGCGGTCAGATATCGTTCAAAAAATGCTAAAATTTATTAAATCTTTTTTTTTAAATAGGCATCAAATAATCTCATGAGCTATCTTGCAAGGAATGTCATCATCTTGGAGCTAACAAAATATCTTGTATGTTTTTTTTTTTAACTGTAACAGCTGGCATGATAATATTGGAAAAATGTTTTTTGTCTTGAGTTTCCTTACATTAAGAGTTAATCAGATAGCAATTCAAAACCACTTTACTGAGAGTGATAAACGAAATGAAAGCAATGATTGTTCTGGAGCAGCTAACAAGATATTTCACTGATATATAACAAAAATATTCTGAGTGTTTATTAAAATCCTAAAATCATCTACTAGATTAGAATTTCCATTACAGTACTATTCAAAATTTTCAGTAAAACCATTTGTCATTAGGTAAATAAAGATTTAAATTGAGTTTTCATTGTTTTTTAAATTTTTAACTTTATTACTTTATTTGCTTTAATCTACATTCTGCTTTCTTTCTCTCCTCCTTTCTTATTCCTTAAGTTACTTTGACTAATATTCTCATCCTTGTTGGTCTCATGACTGCATTTCAACTGTTACCTTCATTTTTTGTGCCACTCTTCAGGTATCTAATTCACCCAGTAAAAAGGTTTACTACTATAGATTGCTCTAAAAAAATTTTATTTTAAAGTTTTTGGGGTTCCTGTGTAAATTATAATTCAATACAATGTAGTTACAAATGAAAAAACAAAGCAAAACAGGAATACCTTCAACTGAAAAAAAATGTTTTCACTAGTGTTTTGTGAGTTTACTGAGAAGATTAGGATGTGTTGATCTACACAATATAGCTAGATTATTTGGCAAACTTGGTCCTTCATGCCTGCAAAAAAATTCTGTGTCAAAAGGATAGTTTTTCTGTTGATGCCACTATTATTTTAACTATCTTCACTCCTTGGCAATGTTTGTTTTGAAAAGCGATGAATAGAAATGTAATAAAACCTAAAAAATTGAAAGTGGATTTAAACATTTTCTTTTCCTTGAGAACTGACAACAAAAATAATAAACACTATTTATTTATTAGATTGTTTATTGGAATGGTTAGCAAAACATTGGCTAATTGCCAATTGATTTGAACTTTATAAAATGGTAAATAATTAGGATTTCCTTAGAGTTCACATATTTTTATAATTTATTATAAATTTAAAAATAAAAAAATTGTTTACATATTTATTTCTTTATAAATTGGTAAATATATTTTCTTTGAGTTTAAACATTATTTTCTATTTAGATTATGTATGTGAAGGTATTGATCTCAGTGGTATTGAAGTCATTGAAGCTGATCGTCGATTTATCAAACAAGCAAGGAAAGATGTCGAGGCCCAAGCCCAGAAGATGTTAGAACAAGGCATGGAAACACAGGTGAATATCTTTTGAATTTCCTTTGTTTAATAATATGAAGAATCCTCAGTATTACTGGTTTTTAAGAGAATATATATTCATTCTAATTTTCTTGATAAAGCAATACAAATTGAATGTATTTTTACCTCTTTTCAGTTCACTTTCTATTTCTTTCTTTTTGTTTCCCACTGAATGTGTTTGTTACACAGTTGGTGTTGTTAGAA